CACTACCATAACTTCCACTACCACAATTACCACTACCACTACTACCACTACCACTACTACCACTACCACAACTACCACTACTACCACTCACATCTCTCATACCATGTCCTCCATCACAACCTCAACCATCAAGCTCACTTTGTCTGTTCAGAGGCAGAAGGTCATTAAGTCTATGTCAAATTATATGAGTTAACGCCCTTCTGGCTCCAAACAGACCACTTCTACCAACATCACCAACATCACCCTACTCCTTCATTATACCATTATCCATCAGGTCATGAATACGCATCAGTAAGCACTTGAATGTGTTTCATCCTGATCATCATTATCATGTCAGCATCCTTCCGCTTCCCCTTCCATGGTCGTCCTCGCCTCGCCGTGTGCACTCTTCCATCCTTCCACCCTCCCATTGCCGTACAATGTAACCATTCGATGCTGTAATTGGCTTTAAAGATCAATATCGTAATTGTAAATGCTTCGTCTTTTAGTAACAGCTACATAGCCCCATTTACACTAATTACTCTACTAGATGTAGATGTTCCTTTCATATATATTAAACACAAATATTTTTCAAGCCTCAATCTGCTTTGTAACAAATTTCCACCAATTGAGGTTGATTCCCATTCTTTGGATATCTCCTATGTCTCAAAACTCCTTTTGGATATGTGTTCAATCACTCTTTTTCATATATCATGTAGTGATGTTAAGCACTGTGAAACAATGATTAGTTTGTAAGGGCACTAGTCAAATGTAGCTATTGATTGTAAAGGCATACAAGAGAGTCCAATAAGAGAGTTTAATGAGATGCTGTATCAGCTCAGACCTACTTCTCAGAATAGGTAAATAGTCGTATGTAACCAGAATCCAACTGACCGCATGCACTAAAGTCTGAAAAGGCTGACTTGGGGGTATATAGGCATGGTAAACAAAGTTGGTATGTATATCATGAACTGTACGCAGACCTGTTTGTGTGAATGGGGTCAAATGCTATCAGCTTAGCAGTATGTATGATATGAACTCACATCCTTGAGCCATTTGTTATGTTCGTGGAGATATGTTTTGAATATCAACATTGATACAAGAAGGGATGGTGGAAGCGCTGGCTTGATGTATATATGCCTTGTGAAAGGTCATTATTAGAGGCTTTAAAGCTATTCAGTAATGCTACTACTGTACATGTACCTACCGCAAATCTCTGTGTATAAGACGTACCCTATTTTTAGGACCAAGATCAACAACAACAACAAAAACTTTTGCTTTTGATTTTTTGCCGACACCGAAGGCAGCAAGCCAGATCAGATAGCGTCTTATTTCAGCGTTGGGAAAGGTACGTTCGGAAACGAAAGCCATGCAGGGAAGGACTTTAATTTATTACAAGGCGCAGTTGAAATGCTTGGGAACTTGTCACATATAATAGTAACAATGTTGTTTTTTAAACTAAAGATTAAAGAGAAATTTTGCTCTGAGTCCAAACAAGAAAAAAAGACAAGAAAGTTACCAATAATTGGCCTATACCCTGAGATAATATTCCATGGATGGTGGATGCACAATTTTTGAATTCATCTTCTAGACCATAAAGAGAAATTCATTAGATTGTTGGCATGCAGAGTGCAGACCCAATATATAGCATGGAAAATTCGAAAGAATAATTTCCATAAACACAAATAAGTGAATTTCTTGTGAAAGCACCTTTACTTGTGTCATGCAGCTAGTCATATGCATTAGGGATGGTCTACTGCAAAATTGAGTGCTCATAAAAATAGTTCAGTTCTCCCATTTCATGAAAGTAAACTACAGGAAGAGATTAAACTATTTTAAAATGATGCCCAGTTTTATTATACATAGGAATTTAGTTGTTTTGTTTTATGATGACTACCATAGGAATAAAATCGGATATTAAGGCCTGGCTTCATCAGCTCGAGATTGCCAAATACCAAGAGTCCTTTATTTCTAATTTGGGAAATAATCCTGAAGTTACAAATCACGTCTCCATTAGCTCAAGATATTTTGCAAACTAGCCCAAGATATCCTGGGATGACAATCCCGACCAAATATCCCGCCAATTGCAACTTCGAACTGATGAAGACGCAAATTATCCAGATCGGGATAGTTGAAATAGCAGGATATTTGGCAATCTCGAGCTGATGAAAACAGGTCTAAAGATAGCTCTTATCTTGACCAGAAGGACCACAGGGACCGTCTAGAGTGAGACATCTTCTTGGAGATCAGAGCAATAAATACAGCGCCAGCATGTCAGTAATTGATGTAATACTCTCCCCCATGAGGGGTATAGAAAGCTTGACATACCGTGCATGAGCCTTGCCCCAACCTGGCACTAATCCCTGCTCTGTAGAGAGACACTTGAACTTGTGTTCAGTACTGAAAAAGTATGAAAGTTAGGATATAGGTTTAAAGAGATGATCCTCCTTTAAAAAAAAAAATTACATAATGAACTACTGTTACATAATTTACATATATTTATTTCTATGTTAATGGGTATTCATTCGATACTTGAATATAATAAATATTATCACACTATTTGTTTAATTGAGTAATTAATATTGATGGAAAAGTTTTTATCACAAGTAGAAGTCTTGGCATGGGAGCCAAGATTTATAATTTTGAAAGGAAACAGGAAATTCAGTGATACGATTGTCTTTGAATTGTCTAGTAGTCAATAAAGAAGAAGTGAGAGTTTGTTCTCAATTTAGTCTGTATCCTGTCTTGTGAGAAGCGCGCGCTCTCTCTCTCTCTCGATCAATCGATCGATCTCAATCTTGAGTCTGTTTGGAGCCAGAAGGGTATTACATGTACCTCATATATTTTAACATGAATTTAATGCCCTTTTAGTTCCAAACAGATCAAACAAGGAATAGAAAATAGAAATGTGACTCAAACTTTTTTTTCCTTTTAGATGAGAGGACATGATTCTGATTTGTGAACTTTCTTTTTCAAAGTGTGTAAAACAATTTCTATATTAAAAGAAATGTTTTCTCTTTCATTTCTTGATGCTCTAACAGCGTGTCCACACACGAAACAATTTATCCCGAAACTCTATAACGAAACGTCGTATAAAGAATCATAGTATAAATTTCAAAGTGTCCACACACAAGAAACGTCATATAAATAATCATCGTATAAATTCAAGGATGTCCATAAACAGCAGAAAGTAATCCTGAAACTCTACAGTCTGGTCTCCTTTCGCTCGAGGTCACGTTAAGCCCCGCCCAGTTAGTTACACTAGTTACACTCCCCCTGTCCACACACAACATTTTCGTGATTAGGCGTGATTCTTTATTGAGTTTCAGTTCGAAACGATGCCCAAACCTGCGTTTCGTTAGACTAGTTTCGTTATACGACGTATCGTTAGTGAGCGTCCACACACACAATTTCATCGTAAAACTATCGCGAAACGGTATCACTATCGCGAAACGGTATAGCTAATCACGGAAAATGTTGTGTGTGGACAGGGGGTTAAAGAGAAACATTTTTCATGATATGAAGAAGAGCTGAAAATAATCAAGATATCAATCTGTCGGGCATATCACACTTATTTTGCTGAGGCAATGTATGTGTAGTCTTCAGCACCAGGAGTTCTTGAATAAAAGTTATGGTTGCATTAGAAAAGGAAACAGACTTTGCATTGGAATTTTGAATGTGTTGGAGAGTGAGATAAGAAATCTGTCGTGGTGCATCTCCACCCCCCCCCCCCCCTCCTCTCTCTCTCTCTCTTACTACGTCTCTCGGTCTGGATATCTTTTAAGATCTCTCTTTCGTCCACGTCCCCCCTCCTTTCTCTTTTCTTTCTCTCTCTCTCTCTCTCTCTCTCTCTCTCTCTCCCCCTCGTCCTCTGATCATGAGTATTTTGGGTCAGTCGTATTAATCACTTCCCCCTTCTCACGTTAGAGCATTAGTCTGCTCAGCTCAGTCTACCCTCCCAACTGGGCACAGCTTACATGTAACTCTGTGTGTGTGTGTGCTAGGTCTTGATCGAGTGCGTGATATTGTCTGGTCCGAATAGGATGTTAATGTGAGATATAACAAACATTCAAGGTGCTCTGGTATATTTACCTAGGTAAGTTTAAAACTCTGTCTGTGATTGCATTTTGGAGTGGTTTTGAAAGAAATGATATACATGTATGCCATTTTGATATATGTAATTGTGTGTTGAGGGATTGATGTTTGTTAATGGCTGCTAATCAATAGGGTGTATAACGTAATAGGTGTATGAATAGGACTATGACTACAATCTATACATGTAACTTAATGAGCCATCAATAGTCATTACTTGTATATGGATGCATGCATGCATAGGCCACATACATGTATGATGTTCATTTGTACTCTATTTCCATTAATGCATGGAGAAGAAAGAAACTTCTTAAATTAATATTTCTAAGCTAAATATAAAAAGTTTTGAATGTTAAGGGTCATTTTTGTTTCTTTCATTAAAATTTTGTGTCACTTTTTAACTTCTCATTATTTCATGCATCTCAGGTTAGTTTGTGTCAAGTGATACCAATTTTCAAGTCAATTTCCAGCCATTACTGTGTGAATTACAAAAGGCAATTTTCAGGTTTTGCGTGCCTTCAGGAAGTTATTAAAACATTTGAAGCAGAAATGAGCTATCCTGTATTTCTTTCTCAATACTACATTTAACGTACTTACCAACACCAGTTTGAATACCGGTACTACTGGATTTTGTTTAACGGTATTCTTTCCACATTTTTTTGTTCATTCATGCATAGTATAACAACATTAAGTCTAAATTCAATTTAAATTGATTTATTGTATATCTCTCTCCTACTTTTCAGTAGTACAGCAAATTTTATTAAAAAATTCATTTCTGTAATTTCACTAACTGTTTATCAATTAATCATATCTCCTTTTGTTTCCTCATCAACCTATACAGTTAAAAGTTTGGACCATATAAGGCTGAATATGTTATAAACTAATAATTTATGGTTTTCTCTCTTCTCTTTCTTCTTCTTGATCTCCAGTTGTATGACAAGATCAACACGAAATCAAGTGAACAGCTTCCCAACAAGAGAAACCTGCCTGCTGACAGTGTCTTAAGAACCAGAGAGGTAGGTTTACTTTCAATCTCCATCTTTGGTTTGTTAGGAAATTACACATTCCTGGGGTCCCCCCAAAAGGCATGGGAGTTGAACTGAAACATTATTAGCAGAAGATTTACATTTGTAACTAATGCCTATCAAATTATAGATGTTTACCTTGGCAGCGTTTCACAAAAGTGCAAGTTCACAGACATCCCATTGAAACGCATCTATTGCAATTAACACACGTTTCAATTATAGTTTCAAACCGATGTCGACAAACTTGTACTTAAGACGGTTTTGTGAAAGGATGCCCTGGTCTTACCACTGCTGCATTATGGGGGAAGCTCTTTGGTCAAAACATAGTGCTAATACTAACTAAATTGAGAAGTTAGTGTCCCCCCCCCCCTTACAAAATGTTAAAATGAAATTAAGGCCCATTCTTAAAAAGAGCAGTGATCAATTTTTTTTTAAAATATTGTGAAGGAATAGGCATTGAAAAGCATTGGATGTAATATTAATAGTTAAGGTGTTGTGGTGTAGTGGTTACGTCACAGGACTATGGATAACATGGTTGTTGGTTTAATTCACGGCGTGGTACTACTAATTTTTTTTGGCAAGGCATTAATCTACATTTGCCATTTTCCACTCGGGTGTAAAATGGGTACCAGTAGGATGCAAACATTAATGTGGATGGATTGGTATTGTGTGTGCTTGTAAAATGGCACCCAGCTCAGGGAGCAGAGCATGTGCACTACAATATATGGATTAGCAATTAAATCCAATTACCGGGTAACTCTAATGTATTAAAGCACTTCGTAGTATACGTGCTGTACAAATTTGACTATTGTAAATAAATCATGTTGTAAGGTTCAGTGATATTTCCTGATAATGTATCATCTTCTGTTCATGAAGTTTAAAAGTTTAGACCTTATGAATATGCATGTATCATCTGTTCAAATCCAGGAGGGTTTCAACACTTAAAATCTAACACAAGGTCAATGCCCTTCTGGCTCCTAATTAAAAGGCGATACATTCCATATTTGGTTTTAAAGAGTTATTAATAAGTTCATTCATCCATTCAGGTTATATGAGTATTCAAGTCGCACAGACTGACGATCACATGCATGTTACCCATATTAAAGCATTCATAAAAGGGGTGTGATTTGGGCATTGCTTCTTAGTATGTCAGCTGCAAATTAACACTAATTCTGCTGTTTCCACGTTGAATCAAGCTAGTATGCTAGCTGGCTGGTATTGATATGATACTAACAACAGGAAGTTTAGGGGTGTGTTGGGAGTAAGATAGCCAGTAATCAAATTAAATCTTGGAACTGGTAGTTTCCATTAGGCCTGTTTTCATCAGCTTGAATTTGCCAAATAACCCGCTAATTTAACTATCCCGATCGCAAATTAACATGTTCGTTTGCGTTTTCATCAGCAAGATATTAGGCTGAGATAATATTCCGAGAAATCTTGGTCTTGTTTCCAAAATATCCCCCTATTTGGGAAATAGCGGGCTAATTTGGCCCGTCTGAGCTAGTTTGTGATGAGCATATATTGGTCTGCTGAAAATGCAATTTTGAACTTCGATATAATATCCCGAGTCTGAAACTTTGGGTTATTTGGCAAACTCGAGCTGATGAAGGCCGGCCTATTGAGTAGAAGAACCAAGTACATGTAATGATACAGGGCCATGAATTGTATAGGTTGTGGTCATAATCCTGAGGACTTGAACCAGCAAAACCGATAGACCCCTTCGGGATAGCTTTGGTATTGACAATTTTGGAATTGGTGCAAAATTTCTCCCAGATAAGCTTTTAAAAACTTCTCCCAGATAAGCTTTTAAAAACTTTCCCCACCAAAAACTCACATTAAACCCCCTATCTCCTAAAGTATATAATAAAGCCACAGCTGACAAGATGTCAACTTTTTTCCATGATGCATCATGTGAAATGAATGTAACACTTGTGTTCAATGTGTTGTATTGTACAGACCCTGCACTATTGTGACATGTAATGTCTTGGCAACATACAAAACATTTTTTTCCATGTGACATTCTTCCAGGCTTCTATGAAAAATGGGTCGTGCCTTCAAACTACTCTACTATGTACCGGTACATCCATTGTTTAATATTGTGTTGCTCTTTGTTAGGTATAGTTACAGATGGAAATCAATCAAGTGTAATTTGTTCACATTTGGGACTACCATTTAATGTCATCGTCTGATAGATGGTTGCCATTACGTTAATACATCCAGGGACCTCTGGTATTAGACATCCGTGCTAAACACCTCGAGATACTACTAAAGTTTACGTCAAGGCTCCGTTCAAGGAGTAGTGTTTATTTCAGAAGTTCAGAGAAGATTTTTGTTTGTGACTCAAAAAGTCTTGTGAAGCTTAGCCTTGTTATTTCAGTTTTAAATCATTTCATTATCATATCAAAATCATCCACATGTCAATCAAATTTGTGTTTACCTTACTTGTGAAATTCTTAAAGTATTATGTTGTTGTTGTTGTTTTAGTTTATAGGCGTGAAACACCTCTATTATTATTTGATTCTTGATGTAGGCTTAGCTCAAGGAGTCAACACTTATTTGTTTAAGTTTCAGAAAAGAATTAGTGCTTGTGAGTTGTGACAATCATACATTTGGTGACTTGTTGCCCTTCAGATCATACCAAAATTATTTCAAAATCATGTTAATGCTTTGCAAGTGGTTGTCAATGTTTGCAGTGAAATATTTTTGTTCAATTAGTGAAGGCTTGGCTAAATGATTATTTAAATGAAAGAGTATTAGAAAAACAAGATGTTATGCTTTTGGGAATATCTGTTTGAAAACTACATGATATAGGTAGGCAGTCATCTACACCAACGTGGGGTGGGGCCCGATCTGAGGTTATCTAGACATTAGGTTTAACAAAAATCATGAACATAATGTAGTTTCATCTTGTTTAAAGCTCTACATTCATATGAAAATGAGGTTTGAATAAATATTTGTGTTGAAATTGATCCAATAGCATTTCTATGCACAGAAAGAAAAGAAGAAAATCAAAAAATCAAATAACATGGAACCTCCTCCTCCCCATTTTTAAAAGAGCCTGACAAGAAAATGAAATTCAATTTATTTGTCCTAAACTGTATGCATTAGAGGCTATTACATTTACAGATGAAATTGTCAAATTCTGCAAAATGATTAAGTTAAATTCATACAACCATATAAACTGGATGCAACTGCCTAATTCAGGATAAGAAAAAGGAAGATATTTAATCATTGGTGTAGACTGTATTATAATAACCCTTGCAATGTCTTTCATGACTGTAACTTAACAATGTTTGAGGTTATAGTCTAGCCGAAAATAATAGAAGTTGCAAAGAACATGACTTGAGATCGCAGGGTAAGATGAGGAATATAGGAAGTCAATTAGACAGGATGAAATCATGTACAAATAGTTATGAGATTAGGTTAGAAGATTATGCCTACAAATCTCATTCCTGATGTGGCGTAGACTTGTTTTTGATTGAGAATTCAAATACGACATCCAAATCTACAAGTGCACATAACAGGTTGAGTGCAATCAGATATTTCCTTTTATGTTATGAAAAATAGATATTATCAGTTCATTAAGTCACCCCTGTGTCGGACTTGTGGCTAAGAAATTTGGTTTGACGAAATATCCTGAAATTTAGAGCTGGTCTAATATCAGCTGCAAGAAAATGCTTATTGATACACAGATTCATCAATTAAGTCAAAGTTTCCTTCAAACTTTATAACTCACAATTTCGATAGTTGAAATAGTTAGCAGTTATAAGTTATGGTATTGGTTTAATAGCTCTTTGAAATTGTAGAGTGCTTAGATGTGCGTACTGGTAAATGTATGCATTAAATTTGATGATATAAATCATTTGTGGAAAGCCACTAGTGTAAATTGGTACTTCAGAATAATTGGTTCAACCAGTTGATGAGGGGATTCATAGAGAAGGAATATCTTCATGAGAATGTAGGTTTTAATAACAAGGTACTGTGCTGTGTGGTTAGAATGAAGGCGTACACACTTGGGAAAGATTGAATTTTTCATATTTTATGTTAAGATTGTATCTATCAATACAGGTCACATTTATTGTATTATGACCGGGGTAATAGTATATTTGTAAAGCGCTTAGAGACATTTGTATTAAGCGCTATATAAAAAGTAAATATTATTATCATTATTATTATTATGTATTTACATAATATTTAGAACATGACTTGTATTGTGTATAAACACACCCTGTCTGGTGGTATAGTGTTTGATTGAATCTTCCTGTGAAGCCATAGGGTATGTCCTCACTGGGAAGTGAGTCACGCTAATTGAATCAAGATTAAAGGCCTAATCAACTCTAAGAAATATCATCATTCGTTTTTTGACAGGATCATGGAGGAATATGCTGCACTTAATTAATTACTTGCATGTTTGCTTTAAAATAATTTAACCTCCCCAAGCTAATATGCTAGACATCCGTCGTAGCATTATCAGTCTAGATATTCCAATTTATTCTGTTGAATCACCATAGAAATTGTTACCCATAGAGAGAAGAATTTTCTATGAAAGCCTGCAAATTCTTCATATTTCAGATGTAGAATCAGAATTTATATTTTTGATTACTCCAGTGTAATGACAATCCTAATGTCTTCGACACTTTTTAGAAAATGTTAGTACATGTTCTGATTACTCTGGTTAAAAGTTATGAGGTGTGAAACAATTTTATATACATATTCAGGTTTTTGCATGAGTTGCTAGATTATATTTTATTATTGACATATGATAATTTGTAATTTTAACACAGTATGCAAGAAATTGACCCATTTTATTAGATGTTTTCCTCCCATTTCATGCAGCTATACATGCATTCCTTCATATGAATTATGATATGCTCATTTACATGTATTTTACTGTATTATCCATATACATATACCTTGTATTTTGTACAGTATCACTCAAAAGTATAATTGTAGATATTCTTATGTAGTTATTGTCAAACCAGAATATTTTCGCAAACATGAAACTTTCGCAAATTGGAGCTGACGACCTTTTTTGGGGCATAAAATCTTCATGAATCGCAGACCATGACAAAACATTTATAGATATATATTTACTATATATTTTGAGGTCTCGGAAACGCAATTTCATTTAATTTGGATGTGATTGTGCTCTAGATCTATACATACCATAATGCAACAATACAAGTCAATTTACTTGCACAGTATATACAGCTCGTATTGTACTGTAATTTGGTGCATTTAACTCTCACAAATCTGGTCTCCTCGTGAAATTCACGAAAGTTTCATGCACGCTAAAAATATTCTGGTTTGACAGAGCTCTACTGAATACAGCATAGTGGCATGACATGGCGTAATATCCCTCTTTCATTGCATTACTACCCACTTACTTCATCATTTAATCCAGCATCACTCTCACATCCATTTAAACCATTCCAAGATTTAACCAATGCATGCTTTAAACCAAATAATGGAATGCTCCCACCTCTTACCACAGAACTTAAACCAATTACCAAAACAGGAGAAGATTACCACAAAATTGTAATGCTCCTTTGGTTTGAATTAGAAGAGATATGCTTTGATTTATAATTTTTAGTTAGATGAAAAGTAGAAAGAGGCTGCAGTTTGAGAGAAAATATATGCCATATTTTAGACTCGGTGGCATTTATTGTAGCCTCTGGTTCCTTTAAACGTTCCTCTAGCTTTGGAAACGCTCATGTAGCCTTTGAAGCATTAATTTGCCTTGAGAAACATTCCCTTAGTCTTGAGAAACATTCCCTTAGTCTTGAGAAACATTCCTTTTAAAGTTTTGATGGAGGGTTATATGAACGCAACATGTCTTGCCCTATGCTACCATTGCAGAACGTACCATCACTACAGTCTGTGCATGTCACTACCGAACAGGTCTTGGAGTTGTTCAGACAACACAACCAGGACAGCCAAGACGCCTACGAACTACAAGCCATCCTCAGTGATCCCTACTTCAGGGTAAGTCTAATCACTACTACATCAACGACTTCATAAGGACTTGAAATTGGCAAGACTATTTTTATTGATTAATTTTCTATTAAAAAAAAATCACATATAATAGGGATAGAAATTGACATAAACTATGATGAAAAGATGAAAATTGCTATCTTTATGTGATAGAACATTGATTTTGATCTTCTCAACATGATGCCAATTTAATGCTTATAAATTGTTATAATTGTAAAGCAGGAATTGTGTAAGTATTACATTAATCAGCTTTTCTTCAACTTGACAATAGGTGGTGTCACACAGAGTCCAAAAATCCGGATTTTAGTTACCCTCTTAATTGCTGTCTGTAATCAATTATCCCATTAAAAAATCCTCTAACGAAGCAAGAAAATTTTCCCTTGAAAGGATTTTTTAAGGGATTTTTCTGTGTGACACCGCCTAATGTATTTTGAATTGACATACATGTAGGTGCCAGAAAATGTTTTAAAAGTTAAAACAAATTGCCATATAAGAACCTATCATACTGACACAAAACACATGAAAAAAAGAAAGAAGCAGAACTAGCTTGAAGAAGGAAGGGGTCAAGAAAGGTTGATCAATATAGGAAAATGGTCTGACATTTAATCATTGGAATTCTAGATTGTCATCCCAGCCCACATGAACTAGAATGTTTACTCACAGATAAGGATACATATTGCTATTGTCTAAGACTATGTTAATGGCTTTTAAGTAAATATGTAAAATTTCTGGCAAATAGAGCAGAGATATCATTATAGGTCATATTTCATATGACCTTCAGCAACTGATTGTGATAGGGGGGCATAATGCATATATTCCTAAAAGTACAATAAATGTAGAATATGCAAATTGGAATTTAAAAAAAAAAAGAATAATCATGCTACATAAACGCATTAAAGCTGGATTGTAGTAGTGATATTTACAGCTGTTTATTTTATGTACAAATTCTTAATTTGTAATGGATAAGCGCCTCATACCAGTAGTTATCAAGAAATGTATACAATATTGAGAGAAGATAAACAGTATTCTTTAAAATCCTGCATCCCAATGCATGGAATCAATTAGAATTTCAGGAAGAAAGATGACTTCTTTATTTTCCCAACATATATGATCCAATATCAAATCTTTGGGTCGTTTAAAAATCAATGCCAGCACTGATGAAATGAAAATTCCTTGAGTTCAGACAATGAAGTTTTATTCAGAGAGAAATTAACTTTGAAATACTCAAAATCCTAGATAAAGTGATCAATAATGAATTATAGGGTTGTTTGAACAAGCATAATGTAATGAAAGAAGTGCACACATTTTCAACAAAAAAATACATCTTCGTGTAAAAAGCCTGATACAGATATGTGGATAGGATATATGATTATTGAAGTTGAGGTAGAAAAAAAAGTTTAAAAAGGTAAAAGATAATCTAGACTTGTTACTTGGCTGTATATAGAACTGTTTGAAATGGATATCACTCATTGTAGGTTTTGAATTTCCCTGTAAAATGTGTTAGACTTTCCGTTCAACTTTCTATTTGCCATCATCTCGCCTCCATGGCATGAGACTACCTTTAATTACAGACGGCCATGCTTGAGACACACACACATTGACTGTCAGTCATCATGCTTTTAAACACTATCCATCTTAATGAGAAAAGTCAAGTCAAAATGTCATGGTTAGCTGTAGGGAGGCTCAGTGAGGTGTATGCCTGCCTGGTGTAGAATCAAGTATGTAGGCCACGGTGGGAAGTATTGCACATGTCTATTGTGTGAATCATACACATGCAGAGACTGTGCTACATTCTCATAATGGTCTTTTACATTAAATCAAGGCAATGAATGTGTAGAGCTTTACTGTGATAAGGTCAAGAAAGGTTACCTACCTGGAGAAATAAAACCTTTAGTGTTTCTTTTTCATTATCGAGGGCGAGTATATGCATGCATCTTTTTTGTGCTATTACATGATATTACAGTATAATGCAAAGCTGTTCATGTCCTCTGTCTTTATAAATGTAAGTTTTAAATTATAAAATGTGACAGTGTATACAAAGGACATACATGTACATTTAAGTACTACAAAGTGTATGCTAGAAAAGCCTAAGCAGATGTCACTATTTTAAATGATTATTTCAGTATAGTGTTGGGTATAGTGACGATGCCATTAGGATGACTCCTATAAAATACCCTACCTATAGTGATGTCACGATTTTGACCTTATCTTACCCTCATTTGACCCTCATTTGACCCTGTCTTTGACCTTTTCCATTGGTAACACGCATGTGTACAGTGATCATGCCATCAAAGCCTTTTCCCCCTATTGTATCTTACCTCAACTATGACTATATTTTGACCTTATGTAACCTCATTTGACCCGATTTGACAATTTGACCTTTGCTTGACCCCTAAGTACTACTTCAGGCTCATGATGTGGTTGCCCACAGGGTTTACAGTGACCACACGATCAAAGACACTCCACCTCATGTTATGCCCTACCTCAACAGTGACACTCTCTCGACTTCAATTGACCCTCATTTAACCGTTATGTGACTTTTGTTTGACCCCCTAGGCACTACTTCAGGCCCATGACGTGGTTGCCCACGAGGTTTACAGTGACCACGCGATCAGGGTGACTCCACCCCCTGTTATGCCCTACCTCAACGGCGACTCCGAGCTGATGCAACCACCCAATGGTAACATGGACCAGACAGATCAAGTCACTCGAGTACGACTTGTACAGTTTCAGAAGAACTCAGAAGAGCCTCTGGTAAGTTCCTTGAACATTTGAGATGTCAAGGGGTGAGCGGCCTTTCAGAATGGGCTTTTTTGTCCTGGGAAAGAGCAGGGTAATAATAGGCATTTCTATATCGCCGTCTATCTAGAAATTTTATTCCGAGGCGCATTTATTATTACCCCGGCTACAGCGCTCTAGCATTTCAAGGAATGAAGTTGGTGGGCAAAACCATCCCAAACTAATTGCGTATAGTCTACATAAACAATCTCATCGTGCTATCATCAATAGTCATGGCTGTTTGGAGCCACAAGGGCGTTAACCCTGTGTTAAAGTACATGAGTGAACACCCTTCTGGCTCCACACAGACCATATTTACATGCATTGGATTGAAAAACGTGTGAGAAGCACCATAAAAATGATAGTACAGTATGAGTTTTGAAGAAATCAGGAAAATCTTGGGTGATGATAGTACTGGGCTAAAATCCATAGGCAAGGTTACATCAAACGCTTTAGAATTGAGACCTAGTGAATATGAAGTGAATGAGTATTCAATCATGAGGAATGAAACCTGTATTTAAGGTCATTGAAAACACTTGGGTTATCATTTGAGCAGTCTTTGAGTAACGTTGAAGTGAAGGAAATGATTTCAATTGTTTGAAAGGTCTGGTAATGTGGGATTTGACATGATGCCCTCCCTACCTCTCTTCCCTCATTGTTACAGAGGGCATACCAGTGAAGGGATACCATGTTGAGTGGTCTTTGAGTACATTTGAAATGAAGTGACATGATTCTGTTGTCTGAAATTGTTTCTTTAAGCCCCACTGCACTACTTATAGCTACTTGCGCCATCTATATAGCAACCAAAGCCTAAGTGGTACCCATTGATCCCCCATAGTCCCCTTTTTCTTATGTTAATTGAGAGCTGATTTGATGGGATAACCACCTGCCAGTGACCATGCAGGGAGTTCTAATCCCCCCTGGCCAAACTAGTGCAGATAGGCTTAAATGTTTCTGTTAATGATAGTATATAACCCCATGCTCTGACTTACCCCCTCTATCGTCCCTCACCACACAGGGCATCACACTGAAGATGAATGAAGACAGACGCTGCATCGTAGCTCGCATCATGCACGGTGGTATGATCCATCGTCAAGCCACTCTCCATGTCGGTGATGAGATCAGAGAGATCAACAATGCCTCAGTGGCTAACCAAACCGTTGATCAGCTTCAGAAGCTACTCAGAGAACTCAAAGGCAGCATCACGTTCAAGATTGTACCCAGCTATAGGAGTGCACCTCAGCCTTGTGAGGTAGGTCTTATTAACCAACCACTGGAGGTGATATCATTTTAATCTAACATTCACTCAACAAAGGAGTTTTGTTGACAAACCTAGGTTTATGTGCGTCATATGACGTGTTTCGATGCGTTTCAGACCAAGGTCCAGACAAACCTAAGTTTGGTGAATTCAGGCCATAGTGTATGTACAGGGGGTGTTTTACAAAGTTTAAGTTGGACTTAATTATGGCCGGCCATTCATACCATTAATTGCTCTCGCCGTTATGATCTTTGGATTTTATATTTTCTTTAATAATGAATTATCCAAAGATGTAAATTCTGCAGATTTGTGACCTGCATGATTCGAGAGACCAATGCCAGTAAATGGTGAGAGCAAACATTGGCATGAGCAGCCTGCCGTAGTTAAGTCCAACTTAAAGTTGATCTAAGTCTTTGTGAAACACCCCCTAGGTTCTACCCCAAGTTGTCTTAAGCTAGTATTCAAGAGGTATTGAGGCATCCCAATCACTGTAGGAGTGAAGATCAACCATTTGGGGTAGGGAATGTTAACAGTTGCAAGTCGTAGGGTAAAGAAGAAACTTGTGTGGAGGCAGGCATGCCAGGAATGTACTGGTGTAGCTTTTTGTGTCAGCTATGAATCTGTGTTCAGGAAAAAAAAATTGTTTCTGGTACAAGATACGAGGACACAGACGACTCTTAGAAATGTCTTTAAATTTCCCATTATTGTCTGAACAATAAAACCAAAGATTTGGGAAAGGTATTATAGAAATGGTAGTAATAATTCATGATTAAACAAATGTGTCTTTAAAAAAATAAAATGTTACGATCTATAGCATTCCAAAATATTTTTCTGTCTCCTTATTTCATTTCTTTGAATTTCTCATCTGATTCTCCCAATGCTCTTTGTCTCACTGTCTCCTCTCATTCACCCGTTTGCTGCCCTCTACAGATCTACGTTCGAGCCCAGTTTGACTATGACCCAGGTCAAGACGACCTGATACCATGCCAACAAGCCGGTCTTAGTTTCCGTTGCGGTGATATCCTCCAGATCATCAGTAAAGATGATCATAATTGGTGGCAAGCCAGGAAAGAAGGTGAACCTCTCAACGGTACAGCCGGCCTCATTCCATCACCAGAGCTACAAGAATGGTATGTACAGTCAAACCTGCTTTAGTGACCACCTGTCTACAATGACCACATTTTTTGTTTCCCTTGAAAATAATCTCACATTGAAACATGTACAAAGGCACTTGTCTACAAGGACCACCTGCCCATAAAGACCACTTTTCTTGTCTCCCTTGGGTGGTCTTTCACTGTAGAAGCCTGCCATACATTTGTCTTTTCTGTCAAAAAGGGGGAAATGAATACACAGGGGTTTGGGGCAATTTTGCCACCGTTCTCCCACAGTTAAAAAACAACAAAACAACCCTGAATTTTAAAGAAGTATGATGATGATTGGTGGAAAATGAGAAAGTATGAGAACCTCTTAATGAACCGCCAGCTTCATTCCATCACCAGACCTACAAGAATTGTATGTATGTCTGCACCAGTAAATACACAGGTGAAAAATAAATGCACATGGCTTGGGGGAATTCCCCCCCCCCCCCCCACCAAGTTCAATAAGCACTTCCTTTAGCTTTCAAATTTTAGAAAGAAGAGCAAAACATAATAAAGAAAGAAAACTACCATAAGAGAGATATACTCATATACTAATATATGTATTACAATAGAAGAAGTAATGTGTGTAATGTTTTGATTTGTATTAATACAAAGAGCTTTTGGTACTAAAAGAAGAAGTAATGTTTCTAATGTTGTGATTTGTTTTTCTTTATGTTGCAGGAGAGTAGCATGTCTGGCAATAGAGAGAGCAAAGAAAGAGCAACAAGCATCGTGTACATGGTTTGGAAGAAGAAAGAAGCAATACAGAGATAAATACCTAGCCAAGCATAATGCAGGTTAGCACATAACAGCTTACCCCCAGCTTTCAACAATCCTAGAGTTTTAATCCGGCCTTGATAGGGCCTTAGCATTGAGTTTTACAGATGAAAGAGATGAAAATGCATAACAATCCTTTGGATAATTATCTCCAGTAGTTATTGTGATACTTGAAATAATTTATATCATAATTCTATTATGATATACATGTATAATCAAACCTTTTGTTGTATTTATAAACCAGCGTTCTTCCTCTATTCTATCTGTCTATCAAGTCACTCTTTCTTTTCTATTTTTTAGTTAAAGTGAAGGCTGTAAGTAAATCTGTCTTTATGCTTACGCTGTTGCCCTGCTATATCGTGTTTTATTTAATTCATATTGATTATGCATTATTAAAGCGTGTAACAAAATTGTTATGTACTGTATTGGAAAAGTGTAAATGTATGCCCTCACGGTGACGATAATGGTAGGAATACTCCCCAGCAGTAGAGATGTTACACATTATGTGTGTGAATGAATCTGATGACCGAGGGAATAATAATATATCAGTAAAGCGTTAACAGAGGGCATTCTGTATAAAGCACTATATAAATCCAGATTCCTTATGATTCATTTATAGGTGGTAGAATCATGATACTTATGATCGGCATGTCATTATATGTCACAATTCTTGAGCTTGCTGATATTCCTTTGTCAAGTCAATAGAACAAACTTATACTCTTGACTGTTTCACAAGATTCTACCTTTACATCTGATTAAAATATTTATTTTTCTCGTTCCTTTCTTCCTTGATGCAGTATTCGACCAACTAGATCTTGTCACGTATGAGGAGGTGGTGAGACTGCCTGCGTTCATGAGGAAAACATTAGTTCTTTTAGGAGCACATGGTGTCGGCAGGAGACACATAAAGAATACACTCATCACAAGTCATCCTAATAAATATGCATATCCAATCCCACGTAAGTAGATTTCATACTCCCTGCTAAGAGCAAGCCAACTAGATAGAGTGTTGGCCTGCTTAGTTCAGCGAGGAATACTGTGCATCATTTTGTTATGTTTTGTTTCTTGCCTGACATAGCAACATGCACCATATTTTTATCTCACTCAACTGAGTTGATTCGTAGATGGCTCATGTATAAATGTCCATTATTTTTCAATCTTGTACTTTTATTTTGGGAAGGTAAATGGAGATTGGTTGACAAATGCAGTCGGTTTGCTTATCAACGTTAAAGTATATTTGGAGCAAATTTGAAGAAAAAAATGTGTCAGAAAAGAAAGTGAATTTTTTCACAGTAATCAAATGTTTTCTAAAGAAAAAAGCGATTAAAATTTCTTCAATTACCGGTATGTACTTTTTCCCCCAAAAATTCTTCATCTTCTACTTTTCTTATTCAATCTTCATTCATTTTATCCATCCTCCTTCTAATTCTCCTGTTACTTCAACACTTCTATCTGCTTTTCTTTTATATTTTGTCAAAGTTACGATAAAAAAAGTGAGTCCATCTTATGTTATTGTCCGTCTCTCCCCTTCTCTTCTTTCCCTCTAGACACGACAAGACGGTGTAAATCAGACGAGGAGAATGGCAAGAACTACTTCTTCGTCTCACACGAGGAGATGATGAACGACATAGCTAACAACAAGTATCTGGAGTACGGCACACATGAAGACGCCATGTATGGGACTAAGCTAGATACAATCAGAGAGATTCATAATAGGAGTCTCATTGCTATACTCGACGTGGAACCTCAGGTATGGGACTTTAGTCAAGCACTTGTCATTGACTAATACATGTGAACCTCCTACAGTACATGGTGTATTTAAAATTTGAATGGCTTTATTTTATTTCTTTATCAAAGTACACAAATATGTTTTTGTTTCCAAAGAAGATAAAACCGAGGGTTTCTCTCTCCTTTTGTAACTTGAGTACTTTTGCACAGAATTGTTGAATTTCATATGTCATCAAGTGGCAATTTGAAAACTATCCTTTTGAGTTTGATAAGGGAGAGAATGGTTGAGCTTATTGCAATGGCCATGCTTTAACATTTCATATCTAGATAGACACCCTTTCATATGTATACGCATTCACATTCATGGATGATTTTTCCACTTGAATGTCAGCTATAAGTTACCGTTTTCACTTGTGTACTTGTATTTATTGTATTTGAGAAGTCTGATTGCAGGTTGCCTACATTGTTTATGATTGCAGGTTGCCTACATTGTTTATGATTGCAGGTCATCTGGGACCTGTTTCACAAAGCCATTTTTCAATGACAAATGAAAAAACTCAGTGACAAATCTGCTGATAACCAATCAGAAGCAAGGATTTAAGTAGCTTATAAAAAAAACTGTCATTTGTCACTGATGACAAGTTTTGTGAAACGGGTCCTCAGGAGTAGGCATTATTGATAAGGTATGCAGATGAATTAAATATATCTATTGGTGTTTTTATTTCTATGTAGGCTCTGAAGCATGAAAAGTGGTCTTTATGTACAGGTTCCTTTAGTACAGGTTTCAATGAGAAACCATATTCAAGGGAAATGAAAAATGTGGTATTTATTGTCAGGTGGTCTTTCCATACAGCAGTTTTGACTGTATATCTATGTGTGCGTTTATTTCCATGTAGGCTCTGAAGGTATTGAGATGTGCTGAGTTTGCTCCCTTCGTTGTCTTCATTGCTGCACCTACACTCACAGGAATGAATGATGTACATGTAAGTACACAGAACTCTTAAAGTGACTCTGTAGCATTGCCTCAGATTCTGAAACACAATCCTGGATTTAGCTCATGCTGCAATCATAATTATAAACCTTTAGGTCAATCAGGAATCCCATGACTTTTACAAACCAAATCTTTTTTGATTATCAAGATATTTATGATTGGAAATCAAAATTTAATTTTCCGTTTTCCTCACCTTTTTTATAACCCTACAGTCTATTGGGGAACATGAGTACGGTATGGTAAACCCGGTCACTCAAAGATTTTTACTTTTTTGAGGCACTTCATGATCATTTTGAGGCGCAATTTTTGTTAGGGCTTCATTATTACACCATATCACAGACACTGATAACACGTAGGGCAATGTATCTCAGATTTAACATTGGTACACCAACACTTCTTAATGTGAAGACTGTAGTAGTAGCAAAGAGTCTTGTGGCTTGGCTTGAGGAGTTATCCTTTTAGGTGTGACTTGGTGAAGTGTACTGTGGTCTTAAAGCGGCACTGCACTACTTGTAGCTACTTGGGCCCTCTATACAGCCCACAATGCCTAAACCTTACCCGTTGATCCCCCTTGATTCCCCTTGGTTCTCTTTTTCTTATGTTAATTGAGAGCTGATTTGTAAAGTGCTTAAGCTCTGATAAAAAGTGGAATATTATTATTATTATTATTATTATGAGATAACCACCTGCCAGTGACCATGCAAGGAGGTCTGATCCCTTCTGGCTAAACTAGTGCAGATAGGCTTTAAAATCACCACAAGAAATACAGAATCCTTCAAAAAGTTAGTTGCATGAGTTTAACTTTGGTCCTTGATTGCCAGTCAAAGATTACTAGATCAATACACTACATATTGGTCCAATATGAAACCCCAAATTAACTTGTCCTAATTTAGGTAGAAACTTATTGTGTTATGCAATTTGAAAAGCAGCAGATCATGATTGATATGGACAATCTATATAAGTAATACGCTAAGGCTCCGCGGGGGGCGCGACGTCTCCGCCAGCCTTTGTATTCTATTGTTTTTTAATGAGATCGCCGACCCAAGTTGGTGCGGCTATCTCCTCCTGAACCCTCCCCTCGGGGTACCCGTGCCGGGTGCCATCGTCCGCGGGAGAGTCTACTCTGTGGAATTGGCTATATTCCGCCCGAGGTCCTCCTCCGTGTCGACGTCCAGGGCGAAACCAGACGCGACATGCTTAATGCAGGATATGCGTGACGACAGAGATACCTCATGGATATTCAACATTACATCCGTAGACACACGACCGATGACTATCCGTATAAAATTGTATACACAAAAATCGGTCGTAAAAAAACTCGAACCATATTCCATACCTTACCTGGCTTACCATGTCGCACGCAAGTACGCCAAAACACGTACATTTTCGCAGTTGCGAGATCGAGACGGAGCGTAGGGCTCGAGTTTTTGGCGGTCGATTTTGTTTTGGTAGAAGCTGAATCTAGACCATGAACCACTAAACATCGCGAAACTGCAATCAATTTCCATCACGAATTCACGATTGCTGCAATATTATAAAGTTTCCATAAATAGAGGTATGAAATTAAAGCCTATTTTGTGATGTTCTCGCCATGTTTACGTAATTTTGATAATCATTTCTTCAAAGTAAAGAAAATCAGACAAAATCACCGTAACTGACACGCTACAATACAGTGCATTGCCACTGTGTAGTGTGTGTGAGATGAGCTGAGTTACGCTGCAGTTATGCAGCAGTGTGTGAGTTGAATTCGAGTCGAAGAGATTTGACACTTTGAAATTGTTATCTGTTGGTTTGCATCATTATTGCCGCGATTTTAATATAGTTTCGTGAATAGATTAACGAAACCTGAGCTTAGAATTAGTAAAAGTATTACTAATGTCTACGTTTTTAAACGACTGTCTGATTTTCTTGTGAAAATTTTACTTTGAAAAATGATTATCGAAATTAATGGTCAGAAATAATCACAATCTAGGGTCTATTATGTTACAGTTCTTGCATCAAATCAATGCATGAAAACTTTAATAGTTATTGAACTAGAAAAATGTTTTGTTTTTTTAAATAGGCAATTATAAAGAAGGAAGCCTGAAACCTTAGGCTACTGAACAAATCTCAACAAAGTGTAGGCCTATCGTTTTTTATGAATTAATGAAAAAGTAGCCCCAGAAAAAAGAGCCCCCGAAAGTTGAAAAAGTAGCCCCCGAAAATTTCCCAAAAATTTGAAATGGAGCCCCCGAAATGAAAAACTTAATTTTTTGCCTGCACCCCCCTCTAGAATCCTGCGGATTTCCACGGGTCCTGAGTTGCGTGTATATATAATATAGGCGTGGGGTCCACGGGTTTCAAGGGGCCATAAACCCCCAAAAGCTCGGGGGGGGGGGGGGGGGGGGGGGGGGGAGGGGGAGAGATCCCCGAGAGATCAGATCGCAGCGAGTTGAGTGTATATATAATATAGGCGTGGGGTCCACGGTTTCAAGGGGCCATAAACCCCCGAAAGCTCGGGGGTTTTAGGCGTTTAATTAGGGACAGATGAGCATATTTTTAATACTTTATTTGTGACACTTGCGGGTCACTAATTGGCGTGGGGTCAATACGTAGAGTTGCGTAGTGTTGCGTACCAACTACACTGGCCTACGTTACTATATGCTGAGGGACTGAAAGGGGTACGCAAGGTGAACGAAAACAATTCAACATGTTTAATTTTTATTGCGTACTTTCGGCGTAGAAACTTGACGCAGAAATTACGCCTTTTTACGCAGAAAGTCCGCCTTTTTACGCAACAGTACGCTACCCTACGCCAGATCGACTAAGCAGTAAAAGCTTTCCACACAGTAAGCAACCATAAGCAAACCTGTACGCCAGCCTACGCATAACCTACGCAGGGACTATTTTCCCATTAATACGCAGCCTAATTTCTGCGTAGTCGGTACGCTACACTACGGAACTCTACGCAGTTCCAGTGGCTTAAAGAATAACTACCGGTACAGTTGGATTGTTTTTTTTAATTTAATATAAGGCCAAATTAAAAAAAAACATGCTTATAGCGTCCTGTTTTTTTGAAAAATGGGAAGGAGGAGGCGCTTTTTTTTTTCTTTTTTTTTTCAAAATGGCCGCTCCGTACATTTTCCCTGGCATTCGGGTTATTTTTCAAGATGGCGGCCTACAATTTTTTTTTTTTCTTTTTTAAAATCAGAAATACATTTTAGCAGTGCTTTTCATGTTTTTTTTCTTTCAAAAAAAAAAAATAGGAGGCGGCCCCCAAAAAGGAAGCAGGCGGGGACGATGTTTTTTTTCTTTAAAAAAAAAAAAAAAAAAAAAAAAATAGGAGGCTGCCCCCAAAAAGGAAGCGGGCGGGGACGCTAAACATGTATATTTTTTTAATGGCCTGAATGGCAAATAACATTCTTGGTGGTTTTAATTTAGACATTCTCTATATATCTATTTACACCCCCCGCCCCCTCTAGAATCCCGCGGATTTCCGCGGGTCCTACTAGTTATTCTTATAACACTGGTGCTTATCAAAAGGGGATGAGCCAAATAATATTTGTTTAGTGATGCACGCTGCCTTCTGTCTTGCAATTTGATGTGAAGTCTTATGTCCTAGGGTTTACTTTGTTAAGGGTTGTTTTTATATAGATTGAGAATTTTAATTCCAGTCTGTTTTCTTATGATACTCTACATCTGCTCACGTTCACCCTTGTGTGATTAGTGGATACTTTACTGAAAGAAATCTCTGGAATATTTTAGCACCTTATGATATCAGGGGGGGGGGGGTGTTTCATAAAGCTGTTTGTAAAGTTACGCATGACTTTACGAATGACTTGTAGATGAAGTGCCAGATAGGATACCCAAAGTTTTTCCTGATGGTTTAACAAACTGACTATATTTCCAATTACCTCACTTAAATTATGGCAAAAAATATACTTTGCTTTAGAAATGTTTGTTACAATAAGAATGATAATCTACATCTGCACAGTTCAACTTTAATTGATGCAGTTAAAAAATGATTTAGCATCCTATCTGGCACTTCATATACAAGTCATTCGTAAAGTCATGCGTAAATTTACGAACAGCTGTATGAAACATCCCCTGCTCACCTGAAGCAAAGAGAAGTCCCTTGTGGATGTTATGCAGAAATATTATAATTGTTATTGTTGTTAATGTTATTGTTATTTTTATTCTGATAACAGGATAGCAGCCTGGAGCGACTTGCCAAGGAATCTGAGCTGCTCCGCCAGGCCTACGGTCACTTCTTTGATCTCACCATCGTCAACAACGACATCGACGACACGATACGCACGCTCGAGAACGCCATGGAAGAAATATGCACCACGCCGCAATGGGTTCCCGTCAGCTGGGTCTACTAAGGTCAAAGGTCATTGTTTATTGCCGGAGGTCAATAGCTCTTTGTTCCCTGTTTTCCATGGGTAGAGTGTCGACCCGTTTGGATCGTTTTCAATTTACATGTATTTCTATGGTGTTTATATCACCGGTATTTCTTACTTCGCATTCAAGGTTTAACAACCACTGTTCTTATGTAAACTAGAGATGGCAGCCTTTTGTTACGAGTAGCGATCATGGATCACGTTTGAAAGGACTGCTAGCTCTACGCAGGAGCTGGAATAATCTTTGTAATGCATCAAGCAAGTTACAAAGGAAACCACCTGATTGCAGCCATTTTGGATTCTTCATCGTCATATCTTCACCTGAATCATTTTCATATATCACTGTTATTTCTTTCTTTCTTTGCAATCGAAGGGTTCAAGACCAGTGGTCTATGTTGAGATGAACAAGAGTCTTTTTTAAGAAATGAACATCATTAGGTTTGAGAGGAGCTAGTTCTGAGCAGGAATAAACTTTTTAATGCATCAAGCAAGAGAAGACTGACTGGAATCTAGCCGATTGCAGCCATTTTGGATCCATGACTGTTGTTTCTTAAATCAACCCATTCCCAGAGTTAATCCCAAGACTGGTGTTAGCTTATGCTGCTTTGGAACCCAGTGAACGATGGTCCAGCGATAGCTACTATATATATTTTGGATTCTACAAACTAATCATGTACAAGAGAGTAAAACATGCAGTATGAAAAACCTGCAAACTTGACTGTAATTCTTGGAAAGGAATATTGTAAGATCAATTATGTGAAAGTTTTTTGAAATTTGATCAGACAATCGAGATTACCAATAATACTTGTGCTCTGTTCTCGGATAGAAATGAAGGAAATTGTTTGAATATCACCCTTAATTTAATGTTAACCAGAGGTGCAAGGCAAGGCATTGTGCCATTGTCAATACAGAAAGAAGTTGAAGCAGTTACTCTATTTATAGGAGGCTCTTACTAATGAGGGTGGATCAGACAGTTCACATTGCATAGTGTTTTGTGCTTGACCATTGCACATACTATGCGATAATATGCTGGGACTTGTGCGTGAAAAAGGTATTCAAAGCAATGCAGACACGCTTTACTGTGGGAATTAAACTTGATTAAAGAACTGACTTATGGCCAGATATAAAGAAGTATTTTGAAATTCTTTCTCATTTAGGAATAAATGTGGATTTGTGGAAGAAGAGGCAAACAAGAAAATGGACATGATGAACTAGGGAGTGATGGGACAGGAGATGTGGAGAATCTGTTTTGTCATTGGTCATTAAATGTGGCCATCTTATTTTATATGAAATCTAGGAGTATTGTTGAAATACAAAGAGCTTTCTGGAGAAGTATGCTATCAGTAAGGAGGGAATTTTGATGTATACAGTCATATTCATCTATTAAGGCCAGTTACGGGAAACATGAACAAAATAGGCCCCTATAGACAAGCATGCTTGTGGTTTTTAAACCTGTCAATATTCTTCTTTGGTATGGCTGTTGAAGCTTGTTAACTCTTGACTTGTTTTGGTCGACCAATTGAACAAACAGGAGTGCCACAGTCTATTTTTAGCACACATATAGGGTACATGTATAATGTATTTCAAACAATTTGGCAGACCTAGGTTTTGATCCATAATGAATAAAGAATTCAAGATTATACCTGACATATCAGCGCTGGTGCATGGATCTTTGCAGAGTTGCTCCTTATCCTTACATACCCCTCCCTCTAAGGCAGCTATATATCTCCTTCAATGCACAACTCATTAGAATGACTTGAAGGGAAAGGAAGACAGTCTCACAGACTTGAACATTTGATGCTACATTTATCTTTCTATTCTTCATAGTTTCTTCTTTTACCATGAGACACTTTGTATATCTATTTAAAGTGTTTCAGATATTTTTCTTCAGCATTATGATATAATTATTTTGTGAATCTTGTATGAAAATGAAAGTAAATATAACATTTTTTGTTTGTCTTTATGTTTCTTTGTATCTAAGCCAATGAATTTGTATGAGAGAAAATTTGTATATATTGACTAATGATGAATGATGCTTGATAGCTTTGATTACAAAGTGAAAAGTGGAAAGCACAGACTTCCAAATCATCTGTTAAATGCATTTTGCAGCTACCATTAGATGCGACCTGTTTAGTTTACATTTTTTCTTTTTTCCATAGAGTATATGTTTTGATTTTATTCACTGAGTTTGTTCAACTTGAATAATCTTAGGCCAATTCATTGAAGTGATCCGAAGTTGCACTATATTGTTACAGCCATGGCAGATTTTGAGCTCATCAGTTTTTCTTTCTTTCTTCTGTTTGACCACGATATCTCAAAAGCACAGTATTCTTATGATATGTATCTGTTTCGAGACTCGGAAAGGATGGGATAAAAGTTTTTGTTGCGTTGCACAAATTGATGATAAAGATTAAATGACATTGGTTGTATACCCTATGGGAAAATCTTATACTTTCTTCTCTCCCCTCTCTTTTCTCTTTCTTTTTCTTTTAGCATCATGTTTTCATCCTTAACTTCTTTTCCCTCTATTCTACCTGACTGACTTCAATATCATCCTAAAGTTACCTGAACTGCATAGTTTGTGAAGTGGATGGTGTCATCTTGCATGTTTACCAGAAAGAGAGAGAGAGAAAGCGAGAGGCAGAGGAGGAGATAGGAAATTTAAGAACACAATTTTGTATGTTTATCTTTCTGAGAAACAGAGAAAGAGATAGTGATAAGAATACAGCTTTCATGAGAGAAAATAATCAGTTTTCTAGGCAAGAAGATGTACAGTGTTAGGACCAAATCCTTGCCATTGATTCTGTTTGCTTGTAGATAGATAGAGATGACCTTGTGATGCCCTTCACCTAGTCTGACCTTGTCATGCCCTTCACCCAGTCTATTATGTGCCATTCATACCTCAGTCACACCGCCAAACCCATTTCAGACCGACTCCAAACCGACCCATTCTTGGCCATAGACATCATGTTATAGTTTCGATTGGTCTGTTGTCGGTCTGGTGTGGGTCTTGTCTGTGTGACTAAGGTATTACTCCTTATCCACTACTGCTCAAATCTTCATCATCGCTATTATGAGTCCTTGTATCCTTTCCACCTACCAAATATTGTTCCACTGAAAAATCCTAACTTGATATTTTGTTGTAATGTAAATTCATGTTTTCCTTCTTATTGATGATTTAATATCATCTTCATGTTTCCCTTATTGTTATCTAATCAAGTTTGTAGTTTTTAGATTTTTCTCCATTTTCCCCTCCATATATGATATTGTTTTTGAATGAAATACGACTTGAAATCAGTGTCTAGTCTTTCATATCACACGATGCTCTGTCTGCACGATGCAATAAAATTAGATGCAAAATATTTTCACTTAAAATTTAAAAAAAAAGAGATTGGAAGAAACACAGTTTTTATGAAATATGAGAGTAATGGTTCATTAGCTTCATGAAGAAACATTAATTGTCATATCAACTGCCAGGTGTAACTCAACTAGGTTATACTTCATGTTTAGACTAACAATGCAATTTGTAAATTACTTTTGTGAATAACAATTACATGTTGTAATTTACTATTGTAAATTACTGTTGTAAATTTGCAATTCTGAATTGCATAGATACATTGAAAGCCATTGGTTGATTTCGTGGTATTGTGAAATGAAAATGACATTGAATATCTTTATTCATTAACAGTTGTTATCAAGAAACACAAATCAGGAACATTATTACATTTTCATTGTTAGCTGACAACTGACAGTCACAGCTTGCCAAAATTTACACAAATCTTGACAAATTGCCTAAAGAATCTGAAAGTTTGGTTTAAAAAAAATCATATGAATTTCATCTTGTAGGATTTTTGCTTGAGGAGAGTGTGTGTTTGCTAAAGTTTGACGAAGAAGAAAAAAACTCTGCAAAAGAATGTGATGCTGAGTCGAGTTCATGTTAGCAATTTCAGCTTTTGTGCTGGTTTCATTAAAACTACTTGTATGAAGCTTTCACATTTTTTTAAGTGGCATATTTCAGTTCTTGTGTTTTGTTGTAAAACCACATGATTTACAACAAACCTGTTCAGGTCTAAAACAGTGAAAGATTAGAGATTCCACATCAGTTCTGTAAGGTGGGGAAAAGAAAGTATGAGAATTCTTTCGAATGAGCTATGCGTGTAATTTATGCTTCATACATAAATGTATGTACCTACAAATATTGTGTAATTGTTATGTAATCAAGCCACAAATTGCACTAAAAATTAGTTTGACGATTTCTCTGTTGTTTTGCACCCTTTTTTTTTAGATTGCCAAGTAATATAAGAAATGGACTTGTTTCTAGAGAAAGACCGGTGTGCACTACTCTAAGGTATATGAATGAGTAGGAGGCAGGAGAAGAAAGAGTAAAATGAAATTGTACATGAAAAAGCATTTAACTTTCCTATGACATAATGTAATTGTAAATGTTATTCATATTATATCTGAAAATGATACTACAACATTGCCGTTTTGGCATGTTTTGCTTCATAATTATGTATTAAATAACATGTGAGTGACTGAAAAATGACAAAGTTGTCTGTGGTTTATTTAATTGATGTGTGTGGTCTGATGTCAGCCTTGTCAATGACTGGGAGGGGGAGGGGTAAGAGGCAGAGAGACAGAGAGAGTGTGTGTAAGAGAGAGAGAGAGAGAGAGATGAGGAAAACAAATTTGGGGGGGGGGGGGAGACGGGCAAAACAGGGGAGATATGGACGAGATGGGGATAGAAAGAGCGAGAGGAGAGGAGAGAGAGAGAGAGAGAGAAAGAAAGATAGAGAGAGAGAGAGAGAGTGAGTAAGAGAGAGGGAGAGGAAAAAAGAAATAGAAAAAGAGATAGAAATTTTTACAAATAAAATGAAAAAATTGCGCTTTAAACATTTTTTTTATTGAAAATTACAATTTCACAATTATTGGAGTTAACATCACATGAAAAAGAGTATGATATAAAAAATCATTTTCAATTTTACACTCCATTTGAATTGACTTCACATGAAAAAGAATTTAAAAATGTTTTATCAAAAACAAGTTGCAACTATAATACAGTTTAAAGAATGAACACACACAAGTGATGAAACCTAAGCATTGAGCTTGAATCGTTACAACACCTTTCAAATATATCATGTATAGCAAATAAAATCCCTAAAGGGCTGTGAACTATTTACACTATTTACAAAGAACAAGAAAAACAAAGAATAACAAAAAGTATATTCTTAAGTCTAGTAAAATGTCTTGTAGATCATAAGAGATTTAAATTGATGTTCGACATGATGGAATTGTTCAATATTGACTTTTAATCGTGTTATGTAGTGCTATGTCAGGAAATCATTCCTCTAGCACAAAATGTGATTTAGAATATCACACCAAAATGCATTACACGTTAGGGCAAGCCAATTATAAGAGAGGCCGGCAGAAACAAAACAAACAAATAAAACACCTACGAACAAAAACAAACCAACAAATACAACTTCAGAAGAAATCATATTCGCAAGGGTGGCAATGTGATTTTCAAAATGGGGGCACTTTCTACCCCTTTACCTTGTTACCTTGTGTGTTTTGTGTGTCACAGGCTCACGGCACCTACTCAAGTAGGTTTGTAGTCCCGGGCGTGTACACAAAATGTAGCCAATAAAGCATTTATCTAGGGTCTGTCCTCTCTATTGTCAGGACCAGCCTCTGCAAATTGATACAAGTGGCTAAAATGATTCAATGAGTATTGAACAGACACAGTTCGAGAATAGACAATATTGACAAAGGACGAAAACTAAAGAGAGGTGTACAGAAAACTCGTTTCACTTAACGCCTGGCCGTGAAAGTATTCCATGTGTTTGTGAGGGCTTCCTTTCCAAACTACAGGGCCATCTGAGCAACAAACCACATCGTTATGTTATCTTGGTGATGTAGGGGGAAGAGGTGCGTCTTAATTAATCGTGTTAATGTTACAAACGAAGATGTATGTAAGGCCTACGCCAACATAGGGACCTTGATGACTTGCGAGTAATTTTATTCGTCTTTCTTTTGTTTGAAATAGGAAGCTTTTATTATTGCGTGAATAGTTTGTGAAACATCTCTCACTCTCTCACAAGAAATTAACGCCGCCGATATTACACGGAATGAATGAATCCACTTTGTACAAAAATAGTGCTCAATAGAGTTGATAATGACAGTATTTCTTCTTCTCTCTTATTATTTGGAAGACGAAGTAAGATAAAACTACGATTGGTTTATGACGCATCCAAACAACACTGTTCCAGTGATACCGGCTACTAGCGCACGTCGCCTTGGAAATTTAGCATTTTATTATTGTTCATCACCGGCACATGTCAACGACAACGCCATGGTATGAATCAATGTGTATGATCATGAAGATAGGGGAATGATTGAGATCAGTTAGCCATCATTTCTATGGATAACAAGTCATTCGTGGACATGAAAGACATTGTTTAAAAACCCTCATGTGATACTGGATTTCCGATTTCGTTCATCGCAGGTGAGAAAGATATTCTGAGATCGTCGAGTTTATGGGACGACAACCATCATCAAGACGACTTCATCAATCAAGTAAGTTGGCTTTCTGGCAATTTGGTGTTATTATCTCACATGATTCATTGAGCCTGAAGAGTTTCAAAATCGTAGGTGTATACATTTATATCGCCTGAGCAAAGCCAGAAGGCCATTACCTATGTTAAACTATATGAGTTAATGCCCTTCTGTCTCTAAACAGACGATATATTTGTGTAGCCTGATATATCATTTTTGTTTTCTTACAGTTACGGGATCTTTGTTGTCGTAAAGCGTTATAATCGTCCGTTTTCAGGCAGACTAGGGGCATTACATGTATGAACGATATTAGTTAATACCTTTTGGCTCCAAACAGATGTATTCTGTTCTCTTAAAGCATGTCGGCCTACAAGGAAATTGTATTACTTAATTGCTGTTGTTTTTGCTTAAATTTGAACCAAGCCTACTACTTTTGCAACTATGGAGCTCAAAATAATCACCTTTAATACTGACCATCTTTACATACACAACTGAATTATCATAATGCAGCTTGCATTAAAAACACATTATCTTATCTTCCCTAATTATAATACACTTTCATTTGCTTCAGACAGTTATTTCGGATATGATTTCTAACGTCTGCATGTGTAGCGGGTCGATGTATGGAAGCATGCACTATAAAGATGTCTTGTACGGAAGCGTCACTTTTATTGATCTTTAAAAGCCTTCTTTTCTAAAGGTGTTACAAATCGATTAGATTTTCTTGTCGCATATCTAGGTAAGCATGTAGATGACTATTTCTGTGCAGATTAAGATCTGCACGATAAAGAAAATGGTACAATACAGTAGCGTGTTTGAAGGAGGGTCAAGATAGGAGAGGGAGGGGGGGGGGGGGGGGTGATCATCTTGACATACTTCCGACCAAGGCAAAAAGAAGGCAGCCTGTCTTAAAATACAAGTTTTTCAAGCTATCTCATATCCTATTCGTTATCAAGAAAGTTATGAGAAGATACTAACGTTTCTATCAAGAATAAACCATAACGTATTGTCACAATCATTAATTTGATAAAAAGAGGTTTGAAAAATATCCCAAACTTTGGGGCAACAGTGTACATTGTATCCCCGTAAGGTGCATGAGATGTGTTGCCCCTCCTGATGTCAAAGCCTGGATACGCCACTGGTATTATCCAGTACTATAGAGGAACTGGTATAATATTTGACGATGTCTTATTCTAATAGAAAATACAATTTCTTCACACTTCACACTTCTAAAATGGTTAACCTCAGTGGAATCTGACAATGTGCATTTTCACAATAGTCTAAAATCATGTCACCAAAGTTTGTTTTTGTGGTGTTCATATTCCTTCCTCATCATTGCTCTCTCTCTCTCTCTCTCTCTCTCTCTCTGAATATAGTCATTCAACCATTTTACCACTTTCCCTTGCTCTGGTATCTCTCTTGTTTCAAAGATTATCAATAGAGAATATATCTGTCCTTCACTGTTTTTTAATCCGTAGCTTATAATGCTGCCATGCTCCCGTTATATTCGGGTTGAATATAACGGGTCACCTTTAATCCGATGCCTGGAGGTGTCTTTCATACAAAAACACACCTCAACAATAGGAAGCCACATGGAATGTTCTAAAGAAACCAAGAGAATGAAAGCAACACAATCAAAGAGTTATAATGAGGAAGACAAAGAGGGAACTTAAAAGGGAAGAGAGAGAGAGAGAGAGAGAGAGAGAGAGAGAGAGTGAGAGAGGAAGAGAGAGAATGGGAGATGTGAGAGAGAATGGGAGAGAGAGAGAGAGAGAGAATTTGCAGAGCCTAGTGTCTAGAGAAGGAAAGAAATAGATCATTCGACCTCTAGCAAGAAAAAAAGAGAAGAACTTAAAAAACAAATAATTAGGTATCAATAAACCCAAAATATTCGTCAAATTTCATTGGAGTTCATTATTACAAGGCCAAAATCATGAACAAGATCACATTGTATTTCTTTGTCACCATGGTGACTGTGAAATTTAAAAACAACCTTGGAATCCTCCTCCTCATATACTCATGGTAATAATGAAATGAATGAACTTAGAGGCAAATTTAATGCAATGTTGTCCGTCTACCAGAAAGGAAATGAGCTGACTGAATGCATTCCATTGATAACGTAACGAGTGTGTTACGTTTCAAAACGCGATGAACATGATGTGTGAATGTCAATTTACACGAAGGAGCTTCAATTAGCATAATGTCGAATGCTAAAGAAGATAAATGAGTGTCATCGAGAAGAGAAAAGTAGGGTTAGAGAAGAGATCCGCGGCATAATAGATCACCCTCTGCGATGAGTAGCGTGCATGGGGATGTTTCTGTTACACAGTTTCATCAGCCAAGCATGACGCCAACAATTATTAACCCATCAAATATGAAAGCGAGAAAGAAGTCATATCAATACGCCATGTATGGGGGATTCACTAAAGCCATCCCTCTGAATATGTCCCGTTTTGGAACCTTAAGCCCGGCTTGCCAGCAACCCGTCCCACTTCTATGTCTTCATTGTCTCTTAACTCATCACACACTGCTGACGTTTGGTATCAACTTGTGATGAGTGTGATGTGGGGGTGCCTTGGCATTCGATGAGCTTGTTCATGCTGGATTTGGGAGGATTATTGCGACCGTTTCTACAACTGAGTGAAATAAAGAAATAACAAGCTGGTGCTGTTCTGAGATTGGAGTGCATATGACGGGATTCTAACTGTTGCTGATGTGATTGATGTCATTAAAATCGTATCATTCATCAAGATTGGAGTGAAAGCTGAGTTCTTCCTGAAGGTTTCTTCTGTTATCTTGACAAACATCATCTCATCATCGAAGCACTCCGAAGACTGCGTCTCATAGAGCTCAGATCGCTGCCTCAGGAATCACTCTTTGTGAACTACCAGGATTACTCCATGGCGGATTTTTGAAAAGTTCTGTTTATCACCAATTGCCTTCAGACAAATAGTCATTACTGTTTGCATGAGGTTTTGGTTCTTCCTCCAT